AACTGAAAAAACTAAGAACCTTGGTGCATACAAGAAGTCAGGCTCCTCTAGAAATGATTTTCTGACATGGGACCTGACTATGTAGATATGCTGCTGTAATCTTGAATATTATAAAAGCATTTCTTGACCCAAAAGATGTAAAAAAACCCCATGCCCCTGGCCTTATACTTTGTTCAAATCAACAAGAGGCCAAGCAGGACTCTCCTGCATATTGGCTGGATATCTTGTTCTTCCAGTTTAAAACTGCAGTGTTAATTAGATAAGTGGCTCACTTCCCTGTTGTGTTTTATTGAGAGAGGCAGCTGTTTAAGAATGATGGTAATCGTTGGTTCTTTTTCTCCTCTTGGGCACTTGTTTATACAGACTTGGTTTGAGTGATAGCAGCTTATCTTTCCTGTGTGAATAACTTTGCTGAAGTTGTAGGACATACAGTGGGCTGGCATTGGCATTACTGTAAATCTCCAGTGATATCTCCAGTGATATCAAACACTTTTCCTAGCAGTTTTGTATGTCCTGTTTTCTGAATGTTGCTGTGCCAGTAACTAGAAATTGGCAGGCCACCCTGTGAATCCCATTGGATTGTTTAAGTAACAAGCTAAGCCAGATGGGAAAATAACTCAGTGACTTCAAGCAAAGCCAAATTTGAACTGAACACCCAAATTACAGCTTCTTACAGTCAAAAGTGTGGGAGTGTGCATGCATACACAGCTAGGTATTGTGGAGCCTCACAGTCACCATAGTCTCTGTCTTTTGAGGACTTCTTCTGTGTGGCCAGTGATGATCCGGCATTTTGGAGTGCATTGCCATCAATATGCCGAAAACAAGCAACTCTCTCTCTCTCCCCTCTTATTTTCATCTTCAGCAGGTAAGGTTGTAGATGTGCCTGGCTGCCACAATGGACAGAATGAGGGCTTTCAAACTGAAGCTCAGTCCAGAAGAAACTGAGGTGCTGTTGGTGGGAGATTTCTCTAACTGGATGGAGGGAATTCAACCTGTTCTAGATGGGGTTGCACTCCCCTTGAAGGAGCAGGTTTGTTGCTTGAGGATGCTCCTTGAGCCATCTTTGTCACTTGAGACCCAGATGGCTTCAGTGACTCAGAGCACCTTCTATCAGCTTTGGCTGGTAGCTCAACTAGTCCCCTATCTTGACAGGGATACCCTGCTATCAGTCATCTACTAGTTGGACAGTATAGAAAACAAATGCTTTTGGCATTGAAAACCTTTATCAGCCAAGTATCATGAGTATCTGTGGCATGCCTTCACCATCCTGGCTGTGAGGGCAGGGGAGAGCACTCCTGCATGCATGAAGCCTGTCCTGGACAGTCCGAGGGAAGTCTCCACCAGGCTGGCACAAAGGGAGCTGTCCAAGAGATTTGTCCTGGCCATACAAAGCTGGGTTAGCACAGCTCAGCCGGTGCCTTGACCATGAGACTTGAAGAATCCTGTGCTTGTGCAACCCAGTGGGGCCCTGGCTTTGCTGTCATCGGTACCAGTACTCTTGAGCACAATGACTGCCCACTCTGTCGATGCTGTTGATAATATTTAGCTGTAGACCCCCTTCCATGCTCCCCATGCCTCATTCTTCACGTGTTGTGTTTCTCTTCCGAAGGGGTGGCGGCAGTGGCATGTTTCTGAAAGAAAAACTGACTCTTCAGTCCCAGTTCTCTCTGAGGTTGTCCAGGGTGAATCAGTTCACTCTCTTGGTGTGGGTTCACATGGAGAACTGAATCCTCTTTCATGCAAACAAAAATGAAATCATTTGTGTATAGAAAACAAGCTTGTTAAAGAAAAACTTTTTATTCTGTCTGACTGGGTTTTTTATTTACCTTTTGTATGGAGGAACATTCTGTCGTGCAAGCTGCTAATTGCACTCTGGAGTGGTACAGTACAAGAATTTCGTTCACCTCCTACTGTTGAAGCCGAGCTGTAAGCAGGTCAGATGGTATGCCTAGCAAGAGACTGAGGCAGAAGGGAATAAGTTAACATAAGGTGGGAAGCACAGAAGGTAATGAAAAGGATGCACATAATCTACATGATTCAGCTAGCTGTAGATAAATTATGGAGAGGCTTTACAAGGGGGAGCCATTGTTAAATATGGGGTTGTTGTGGGGGGACTTACAAAGAGTATCTAAAGAGATTCTGGCTGAGCTGTTTTTCACTTGGGTAACTGTACTTCTCTAAGTGCTGCATTTTTTCATTGGCTTGAGGACTACACAGCTATACTATCTGTGAAGAAGGCATTTATATCAGTTAAAAACTTGCAGGTTCTAGGTCAATTGCCTAACCCCACTGAAAAGCATCTTTTGAGAGCACATCTGCCATGAGTGGATTCTTTATGACAGCAGTAGGTGGAATAACTTTACTTAACTGACATGTGCCAGTTGCGTATAGAACATCTAGTGGTAAGCCAAGTGTGCCTGAGTAGCGAAAGACCATTAACACAGGTCAGCTTGTGTAACCCGAGAGATGAGTTTTCAGTGACAGGTATTTGTTGCCTGCTCAGAACAGCAGCAGGAAGCTTTAAAATAAGAGAAGCATCCATTCTGCAAAGTCTCTCGGGGAGGCAGCAACAAATGAAGCAGTGGAATAGAGCAAGAACAGAGAGAAGCAATGGAACTGAAGGGAGATGACCTGTCTGTTCTGTTAATAGTGGGTAAAAATGCTGCCATAAGCGTGTGTGTAACATTCACTATGTGTCACCGGGAAGTTAGGGGTCATAACAGAATATCAGATGGCAATTAATTATGGGATAGTCTTTCTCAGGCAGCCCCAAAGGAAAGAGGAAGATAGTACGAGCAGATTGTTTAAAAGATGTAGTGTAGGGGAATCTTAAATTTTATATGGCATTAAATGTCCATTCAATAGATTCTCAACAGCAGTGACAGTATAGTTGAAACAGAAGTTGCCCAGATATACAGAGACTCAGTGTTGTGTGGTGGTCAGAGGGCTGGGCTGCGAACCTGGGAGATCTGTCTTCTAGTCCCCACTCAGCCATGGAGCCCACTGGGTGACTCTGAGCCAGTCACTCACGCTCAGCCTAATCTGCTTCACAGGGTGGTTGTTTTGAGGATAAAATGGGCTTACACAGCTGCTTTGGGTCCCTCCCAAGAGGAAAAAAGTGGGATATAAATGTAATGTGATGGTGATGGTGATAATGAGGAGGGGTGCTTCAAGGAATGAGCCTGGAGGGTGTAGTGGGGCACATGTGTTTTGATAATAGTATAATCTTAGGAAGGTGCTGGTGCACTTAGACGTACACGTGCATGTTAAGGCTAGTCAGTGGAGTTCTGGAGAGGACTTAAAACACTTCTCTATCTGGCCTGGCCAGAGTCACAAAGCAGTGGCTGGGGATGTGTGAGGAATCCAGCTTGAGCGTGGGAATTTCTCAGCTTGGTAGATGGCAGACCAGGATGAATGACCTTGTTTTAGAAGGCAGTCTGAGCTGACAGCAGAAGTCATCTCTTGTGGCCAAGTAGTAAATCGTTGGCTTATCATACTTCATCATATTTTAGGTCGCGTCTCGCATAAGCCTGCTGGAAGCCAGCTCCATAGCGATATTTGTGTATTAGGCCTGAACAGTTTGAATCCGCTCATCCTGTATCATGCTGCTGGAAGCTGATTCCACGCTGGCATATCGGACATCTTATTTTTGTGGCTTGGCTGATTAGAAAGATTTCCCCATCCTAGCTTGTTTTCTTAGGAAGCCTGACAACCACTTTCTTCTGCTGTGGAGCCACAATTAAAGAACAGATGTTAGAATTTGTGATCTACAAGGGCTGGAATATTGATGTGCTGAATGCTGCCCTTTGCTCTCACTACTCCTTAGATAATTAGTGAATATTAAGGAATGTAAGGCTAGTATGGTAAGTTGCTAGACATGGACAAGGAAGACCTCTAGTTAGACACAAAGCCAGTGATTTCATTAGGTTAGAATATAGTGAGTGCTACCGACTTGCATCCTTTGTCCTGGCTAATCCTATGCCCTTACTTGGATTTCCAGGCTATTCTATTCCATGGGGCAATTAGTCAAAATAGAGAAGCAGAAGTTTCCTATGCCATGCCTGTACATGGGGCATTGGGGTTACAGTGCTGAATGGGGACTTGGAAAAACTGAGTTCTAGTCCCCACTCAGCCATGAAGCTCTCTGGGTGGCTCTGGGGTCAGCCTAACCTACCTCACAAGGTTGTTGTTATGGAGATAAAAATGGGGAGAAGGAGAACCTTATAGGCTGCCTTGGTTTCCTTGGAAGAGGAAAAATGGCAGAGTATAAATGCAAGGCTCTAATAATGTGATATTCTAATGAGGGATAAAGGCACATTCATTTTGGCCCATGGCTTAATCAGTTAAATAGCAATGAGTGGATAGTTTCTGCTTTCACCATCCACCCTTTGAGGTTGCTTCACGCATATCCAAGTTAGAGGTTTTCTGTATACGGTGCACAGAGAAAATCATCCTTATGTTTAAAGCTACTAATCACTTGTCTGTGTCCAGTTTCATTATAGGTTTAATATAGGAGAACCTTAATGTGTGGGCAAGACTGGTAAAATCTGAGGAACAGAGATCATACAACTATCTAGACATATTGGTGCACCTGGCTATTGTTTTCACACAGGGCATTTCAACCTCTCCTTGCAGTGCCAGTCCTGTGTGTCCCCAAAGCCCTTCTTCAAAGTTCGGGGTCCTCTGTAGAGGTACCCAACAAAGGATGAGAGTCAGCTGCTCAAAGGACCTTTGGACTCTTCCCTGTGCAGTTTTCACTTCACATGTGGGATTGGACTTTGCCCATAGTGCCAGTGCTCAGGAATTAGGTTCAATTACTCAGCCCAGTACAAAACAAGAAATGAATTTTCCTGCGCTGGCTTGGCTTGTTGCAAACATTCTCCAGACCATAATTCATGTGACACAGCAGCTGTTCAGGATTTAAAACACCTGAGTTCCATTTGGTTGATGCAGTGGTCCATGTTTGGTGATGGCTGATCTGCTTTTCCTCCTTGTCCCAGATTGCCTATGCTGCCGTGGACTGTGCCAAAGAACAGAACCATGACCTGTGTAAGCAGGAAGGTGTGGATGGTTACCCGACCTTTAACTACTACAACTATGGAAAATTTATAGAAAAGTACAATGGAGACAGAGGGGTAAGTACATGGAAGAGTTCTAAAGTAGCAATTGGCATACAGTGGTTGCATCTATGAACAATTCAGTCAAAGCCAATTCAGTCAGAATGCCAGATCTTGCCAAGGTATTCTGTGCTTCCATTAAGTAACGCCCATGACTGTATCACCTCGTGCCCCACATATATTTGTCAACTGAGGCTAACTCAATGTGAGGATAATTTTGGAGCCTCTTTTATTTTGGTTTTATTTCTTATAAAATTCTCTGAGTGAATTTAGCACTAATGAAAATGAGAGAATTGACTGTCTGCCAATCCTATTTCCACTCCCAGCCAATGTCATACAGAAGCTGTACCAGCAGGCATTGCATTTTCATTTGGAGTCTAGGCCTTCAGTTGCCCTTTGCATATTCAGAAATTGTGATGAGTTATACTAAGATTTTGAAGGTCTTCGATCACCCTTATTGCAGAATAGCTAATATGCGAATTTTGCAGGAATAATGTCTCCACAATTTGATCCTCAGTGAGATAAACTGTACTGTAACCTTTGTCATAGATGCAGTGTTGTGGGGGCGGAGGGGTTCAGTCTGTGGTTCCATCAGCCTAAATATTAAAGGCACAAAATTGAGTTTAAGCTATAACAAGCTATTTAACAAGTTTAAGCTATTTATAAAGGCACTGACAAAAACAAAAGGACTTAGGAAAATGATAGGTCTCGTTGGTTTGGCTGGAGAAGATACCCAAGTGTGCATCTGCTGTTTAAAATCACACTTGGAGAAAACAAAATGGTATCTGGCTGCTTGTACTGGTGTACAGCTGTCCCTTTCCATTTCTTAACATCTGAATTAGTGCATGTCACCTCTCCGTTTTTGTTCTTCCAGTGAGTAAAATAGGGCTGCCCCCCGCTATTTATCTGTAACATATGTGCTCACAGAAGAAAATCACTGGCAAGCGCATACTGGGAAATTGGAGATTGTGTTTAAATCCTTTCATCAGTTTAGAAACATTTCCATTCGTAATGAGCAATTTTCCTTCTAACCTGCTTCTTCCTCCTAGGCCAGCATCTGAGCCTGTATTGAATTGTGCTGGTCCTTTGACAGTAACTGTAGGTGTACAATCAAATTGTCGTTTCGCTGTCAACACATTTATATATTGCAAGGACTCATTGATAATGTTGCAAATAAGGGGTGGCCTCCAATGTTCACTCTATGTAGAGTAGGCCCACTTAAACGAATGGGCTTACATTAGTTGTGACCACATTTTTTTACTTGCTGTTCTTGTTTAAGTCACATGGGTTTCCCATGCAATGAAAAGAAGTTCCTTGGGAGGTCTCAGTGGAACTTGGCAGCTGTTTGGGCTAATCTGTCTGGTGGGGATAAAGATAGATCCTGCTTGAAGAGATGTCCAAAGTCTTAAGTATATCCAGTGAACTATTTACTTTATATCGTGGATCCTCAAACTACGGCATGTGGGCCAGATCCAGCCCGCCATGCCCATTAATCCGGCCCACCATAGAGGTTTTGGACACGCTGCGCACATGCCGAGGCAGTGGCTTGCTCGTGCAGAGATCGTTTTGGACCCGCTCAGAGAAAAGGATCTCCTCGCAAGCAAGCCTGCGTCTCCCCGTGTGGTGGCTTGCAAGCAAGGAGATCATTTTGGACTCACTTGGAGAAAAGGATCTCCGTGCACACCCACCCCGGCCCACTTCCACCGCCGCACTGCCTTGGCGGCCTGCGCCCATCGCCGGCACCTTTCAACTGGCCCCCTATTGAAAAAGTTTGAGGACCCCTGCTTTATATCTTTGAATGCCATCCTCATACAATACAGCAGCTGATGTCCAGATGTTTTGGGCTTCAGCACCCATCAGCCCCAGTCCAGAATGCTAGGCCCTGTCATCCAGATCAAGTGCCATACAAGGTCTGCCTTCAGGGTTCTTCTGTTTCAGAAATAGAGGCCCATGTTGTGACAGCAACTTTGAAGAATCACAAACTGAACCACACTCACATTGCTTTTATACTGGATTCCTGAACTGAGCAAAGGGTTGAACTTGGTGGTCTTAATAGCCTCTTCCATCTGTTAGGGTTTTTTGCATGCACCAGGTTCTTCCAGTCCCACCACCTGTCTAAACAACAGTGAGCGTGGAGAAAAGCTGGTTACTGGCCAGTATAATATTCCTGTAACGAAGCAGGGCCTGCTAAACACATCCCAAAGCAGAGCAGTTTTAAAATCTCCTCTAATTGTAGCGGTATTATTGTCAGTAGTTGCTTCAGTGCTAGATACTGTGTTAAAGTACAGAAAGAAACATCACACACAGCTTCACTGGGCTGGATAATGCATTTCGGATAACACTTGTAATAGCAGGTACATTGCTAATCAAAAGCTAGTTCTTCTGTGTTTACTAGAATCTCAAATTTCACAACTAGCGATGCGTAACGTCCTGAATTAAAATTGACAGATGCATCAGACAAAATAACAGTGGCTCCATTCCCACTTCATCATGTGTCCAAATAGATCGGATGAGTTGTCAGGTCTAATCTAAAGCCCTCAGAAATTAATGGAAAGCTTGCGGACTTTCGTGGTGGTTTGGCTCCCGCGCTCACCGTTTGGAGGCATGACCTTGTGATTGTGATCATTTACAAAAAGACAGTATGTTGCTGATTAAAGACACAGTTTTCTGCTACAGAATTGCCACAGGCATGGCGAAATAACAGTGGTGCACCATATCCTGGAAATTAAGTGTCTGGGGGTGGGGTGGGGGGTTAACTTGCAGTTTTGCTGCATGGGCCAGCTTGTCCAAGAACGTGTTGCATTTTGCTGGCAGAGGATGATAGTCAGGACTCCTCCGCCATGGTGGAAGGTCCCTGCCACTACTGATCCAGCAGAGGAATTGGGAGGGAGGGAGCATGAGGAGACTTGAGCCATTTTTTGTCTGGATTTCCTGAAAGACATGAAGCCAGGTGTGGGCAGGATGGGACAGTAGTGGACGGAGGGAGGGAGGGAGGGAGATTTCTGGTGGAGGAGGTAGGGTGAGTTTTAGAATTACCAGCTGGAAGCTGAGACCAAGGAAGGGGGAAGCAACACCAGTGATACATCCTGTTTCTCCCTCACACCTCTATCCACATGAGATTCAAGAGAAGTGACTGCCCACTCTGATCCCCTCTTCCATCCACAGCAATCTTGGTGTCCCACAAGGTTGCTTCTACTTAGAGAGAGAGTTCAGGTTGTAACCAAACGGTGATTCGCCATCTCTAAGGACAGAGACCCTCACTCACTGCTCCTTTTGCATCTCCTCATGTTCATAGTTCTTCAGACCAGAGGATGGGCAAGTTCAGGAGGCCCAGGGCCATTTTTGCCCTCTCCTCTGCAGACGCTACCACCAGCACCCATAGGTGCTTTTTCATCCAGATTTGGCAGCCAGCCATTCTGTACTGGCAAATGGCAGAAGCTTGTTCTCAATGCTAAATTTGACCATTTTAGAACTCCATCGTGCTAAAAGTGCCATTTGTTTGGCAGGGGCAGCAAGGGCCCCCTGCAGTCATCGGGCGACTTGAGAGCAAAATCTGGAGTCTGATGTTTCAGTTTAATTATGTAACCCACCCTTTTTCCTCCTGTTTCCTCTCACATTCTAGGAATCAGGCTTTTCAATTTTCATGCGAACCCTCCGAGAACGAGACCATGAAAAGATAGGGAAAAGGAAAGATGAGTTGTAACTTCTGCCTCAAGAAAAGATTTCCACTGCACTGTGAACGGTCTCAGGGCCGCTGGTACAAGCCTGAGATTTCACGTCTTTTAAAATGAAGACTTTGTTTTTATATGCAGCCATTGCCATTTTGTACAATTTTGAAATAAAGTGAGATCATTTGATTTTTAAAGTAAAATAAATGATGTCATTGTTGCCATATTCAGTTAAGGAGAAGCAGAAAAAGAGCATTTCCTCACCATTTGATGCACCTATGCCCATTGATACTCCTATGCAATCTTTTTGTAATCTGTAGGTTTGATAGTGATTTCCTCTGACAAGGTAATTTCTGCATTTTTAATTTTCAAAGAATATTATATGTGAAATGGCTTTTAAAAATGGAGGGGGGATTAAAGAAAGATGCAAAGGATCCATCAGAAGCAAGTTCCACTGAAATGAGCAGAAACTGAAAGCAGATTATGGACCCACCAGACTTGGCTGGGATCGTCTTCAGCTGCAGAAGTGCGCCATGTGCATGCACGGCACTTGCGTCAGGGCCCTGGTGCAGTGAAGTTCCCTTTCGGTCTTTATTGTCCACGTGCCCGACAGTTGTCCGCCTGCACTGCCTCTCCTGCTCCATGGCTGGCAGGACACCTGCAAGAGCGAGGCACCGAGCATGCAGTTAGCAAGGCAGCTTGGGATCAAGAGACAGCTGCCTTTTCCCAGAAGCAACACGTGCACTTGCCAGCTGTGCGTGGCAATGCCAAACTGGTAATACAGCCAGTTGTGACTAGGACATGCTCTTACAGGCTTGCAAAAAGTTAGGCTTTGTTTTTCCTGGAGTGATTTCAGGACTAATTTTTAAGGTGCTCAGGGATAATTGGAAAATAACGAAGAAGCATTGGCTATTTCAGATCTTAATTGACTGTAGTGGTGTTTCGGTTTTTTAATCTGCCGTAATTGAACTGTTTACATATCTTTATAGAATGTATGGGTAATTGCAAACAAATGACTCAGCGGCTGACACGGATCAAGCACCAAAATTATTTTCATTGTTTGTGTTTGCATTCCTGTTTTCCGACACTCTTGTAAGCACAGGAGTGCTTAGTGCAGGTAAAGGCTCTACTTAATTTATGACCTGACCGTATGAACTGCATATTTGCTAAGCATTTGTTTGACTGTATGTTTGACAGGCATTGATATTTTTGATATGAAGAAACATCATGCAACAATACTTGTTTACGTTCCAAAGGCTTGTCTGTGTGTGTTACATAGGAAAAAAGTGTGATTTTTGTAGAATTCTATAGAAGCAGGCCATGCTTTAAGAAAAAAGTTTAGCCCTGTCAGCAGTGTAAGAAAATAAACCATTACTAGAACTAGCTTTTACAAGTCCGTAATTGTGTGCTGATTCTGTGAGGTAAGGGTGATTTGGTCATTGTGTCTTCATGGGGTTTATTATATTTTTTGTGATTTTCAATTTGATCAAAAAGAATAAAAATTTGAAAATATATTTTAATTGTTCCCTTTATTCTACAGCTTGTAAATCCAGATTGCTTGAAGCTGTGCTGGTGGTGAGAACATCATACATTGCTACTTGCCATGGCTGTCACTCCAGAAAGATTAAGTGTTTCCATCCTCTGCCTCCATCTTTCTGAGGTCCCTGTAGGAAAGAACAAAAGCCTCTTTGCCTTTTGTAGTTGTATTTGCTGTCTTGCCCATTTCTGTGTGGAGAGGGAAACACGTTAGGGCTTATTTTTCCTGACTCCTCTGCTCCATCTGGTGGAGGTTATAGAGAAACTGTCCAAATCTTTAGCTGAAATGAAATGAAATCCAGTCTCTCTACTGGAAGCTGCAGAGGGAGTTCACTTGTGCACGAGAGGCAGGAATGCTATTAGGTAAAAGCAACTTAGTGTTCCTGACCGGGCAGAAGCCTCTCCAGTGAAAGCAGAGCCACTACAGGGCACCCAGAGAGGCTGTGTGGGAAGGACTCAGCCTGAGGAAGACTCACAGTGTAGGGCTTCTGATCAATATTCTTCCTTTCACACAGCCGCAGCCCTAATGAACTTGCTGGAGCACCTTCAGAAGGCATGGGAAAGAGAAGGAGTTGCTGCATCTGTGGACTACAGATAGCTGCCCCCCCTCCCCATGCGTGCAGTGTGCGTGCAAGTGCCATTCCTGAAGCTGAGGGCTGAGCTAGGGCTCTGTGGAGGATTCCCCTCTGCCCATTATCAGCTTGATCTTGCTTCTGTTAACCCTGTTTGAGCTGATGTGGATTCTCGCTTCTTAACAAGCTTTAAGTGATGTGGTTTCTTGGAAGCTGGTGAGTGATGAGGCCTGAGACAGTCAACAGTTATAAAGCAGAGCAGTCTCTCACTTTAGCTTTTGCAGCTGAAAATAGGAGGTGGTGTTCCTTGCCCACACTCACACATGTGCACACATGCGCACACATGCACACCCACACACAGTGCAGCCATTGGCATTTAAGAATCTCTCCCATTAAACTTATTGGGAAAATGCTTAATTTTAGCTGGATTGTACTGGATGTTTGCTGTCCATGTTTTGCTAACAAATTGCTTGTGTCCTCAAAAAGCAAGAGGTCAAAATTCTGGAAAAGTTTGAGTTGCCCAAACTGGGGCTTCTGACATGTAGTATCACTGCAAGACAAGTTTGTTCTTGACTTGTTTGAGAACAACCATCTTAAAGCCCCAGGTTGTGAAAAAGTAAGCTTTGAATCCCTGGTTTGTTTAGTTACTCCTACTGGTGGGAGGACCCTCTGGGTTGCATACACAAGCCCGTCGCTTATGGCAAGCTAGTCGGGATTCTCCCCTCTCTGTGTGCTGCGCTCTTCTTGCACTTGCTCCCTTAATGAAACTCTTGACTCTCCAAACAGAGCATCTCTGTGCCGCTGAGGGAACTGTGGGAGGAGACCTGATTGGTGCTCCCACTCAACTTTTCATTCTGAATGCGCTTCCTGCTTTTTTCTGGCCCAATTAATGCTTCCACGTATTTGGCACTCATTCATCTGCTGGAGCCCAACTATGTATTCAAGTGAATGATGACAGGCTGATTTGCCTTGTGTGGTAGCAAGCTTGTTAACTATAACATAAATCTGAGCAATGGTACCATGCCAAGCAGGTTCTTTTCTTAGACACTGCATGAACTTTCCTGTTAGACAGACAATTAGCTGTCTGGAAAATTAGGTCCCCCCACCCTCTCTGGATAGAATTTGTTCTTGCTGTGTAGCCCCATCTTCATTTTTACCTATTAGTCTGCTGTAGTTGTAGGATTTCTATTTTCAGCTGGAGATTTTTGCCATTATCTTAGGCTCTTAGCAGCTGTTCACTCACTACTAGTAGGTATAGATTCAGCATATGAATATGGGCCTAAGCTTGTGTACAGTTCCCTGCCCTGCCTTGCGGCTACAGATTCTGATCCTGAATTGCTAGTTGGATAATTATACACTTATTTATTTGTTATTCATTTAAAATATTTGTATGTATATTTATTTAAAATATTTGCAATGTGAATATGCTAACTGAAGATGGGTGAGGTGGATGAGGAACAAACCTTCTTTGCTCCTTTCTGCTAAAACCCAAACAACCGCAAATGAGAGATGAAATAAGCTAGAGCAGGTGACCAGCAGCTTCTGGCTTAATCAATATCACTTTTGTTTCTGTGCACTATGGACCTTGCATTCCTTGGTTTCAGCAAAACAGTTGACAAGATCTTCCATGAGGGTTTTGTGGACAAGGTGCTAACGCACGGGTTAGGTAACTGAATGCTTAGCTGGATCCATACCTGCTTGTGTGTCTATGTCCGGTGAGTACTCCTTAATGGCTTTGCATCAGTCTCAAGTGGAGGACAGTAGGGCTCGGTTTTAAGCTCTGTACTGGTCAACATTTTTGAGGTGGCTTGGATGAGAGCACAGAGGGGATGCTTATAGAGTGCGTAGATAGCACACAACTTGGAAGGTTGAAAGAATGAGCTTGACAGGCTGCAACAAACAGAATGAAATTTGTTTGCTAAATATACATTTCTGTACATGCAAAGTTCAAACCCAAAGGCAATGGCATAGCATAGGGGAGATCTGGGCTTCCAGGAATATATGTGAAAAAGACCTAGATGTCTTGGGGGATCTCAGGCTGAATATGAGTCAGTAGTGCAATGTGGCTGCCAAAACACCTCAAACAAACATAGGCGGCATTTTCAGAAACTTCATGTCCAGATGACAGGATGCATTTCTTTAACACTATTCTGCACTGATCTATCTGTAACTAGAGTAGCAGTTCTGAGTACTTCATTTTAAAGAGTCTAATAACAAATTGGCGCATGTCCAGATGGGGGCAACCAAAATGGCAAGGTACCCCTAACCCAAGAATATTTTAAAAGAGTTGATATGCTTAGCCTGGAGATTAAGCAGAGACATGATAGTGGTCCTCAGATATCTGAAAGACTATCAGATGGAGCAGACTTATTCTTGGTTGCTTCAGAAGCCAGGATTAGAAATTGAAGAAAATTGGTCTTAATGATAAGAACTATTTGGCAGTGGAATATGCTGCTGTGGGTGATGGTAAGCTTTGCTTTGACAATCCAGCACTGAGCAAAGCTTGGACTAGATGACCTCCAAAACTCAATTCTTTCTCTATGTTTCTAAGGGAAACTTTGTAATAAAAACAAGCTTAACAAGCAAAAGGTGTTCTAAATATGCTGTAGCACCTGTGGACAGGTGTGTATGTGTCTAATTCAGCAGGGACACTGTTCATTTGGACCTTGAGACGGTCATTGCAAAATGTACATACAACATTTCTAATGGTTCTGAGGGCTTGTCTCAGCATATTTAGAATTCTGCTCAAAGTGCTATGGAAAACTGACTTCATCAATGGGCTGGAGAGGATTGCACCAAGCACTGCCTACAAGTGTTTTGTTACCAAAGTCATACATAGTCATTCTGATAAAACCCAAGTGGTGCAACTATACAACACCTCAAGCTCAAGTCTTGCTTCATTTTGTGCACTAAACTTCAACTATATCAAAAAATGCCTTTGATCTACTTCCAGCATTGGGTAACTCTCATCCTGTATGGAAATGTGTTGAAAAGATAATATTCATCGTGTCTACATTACTTTAGGAAGTTGGCTTTCTACCCTGTCCTATCTCAGTGGGTTCTGGCAGATGACATTTTAAAAATTTATCTCATCATTTTCACACAGCAATTATTTTCTTATTTTTGAATACATGTTTAAAGCAATACTTCCCTGCTGCTAGGTAGCTCTGTCAAATAAAACATCTTAAAACTGCTTCTGGACTGTTAAGTTTCACAAGGAAGGAGTTCCATATCTCTGGAACAGCATCCATAACCAATAATCTTCACGACCTGATTGTAAGAGCTCAAATGACATAAAGTAGAATTGGAATTGGCCGGGCTTGCATGAGCAGCTTGAATTTCATCCTCCTTGCCAATCGACAGGCTGCAAGGCTGTTTCCTCCTTTTTGGTATTAAACATTCTGCACATGGATGAAGGCACACTCCTTAAATTGGCTTCCTCAAAGAGCTTTTTCTTATGAACGAACAGGCACCCTCAAACATTTTTTAAAAAGCTGAAAAGAAAACAGTCCTTTATGTTGAAAAGTTCTCTATATGTGCTCTGCAGCATTCAGCTATACTTAACCGATTTTTTAAAGTAAGTATTATAAAGCGCCTTATGTGAAAGGAAGCAAACAGTAATTGATATTTTATTTCTTCTTGAAGATGGATTTCTGTAAGTACACGGAACAAAGCAGATTAACCTTTGTATGCCAAACTGTTCAGTTTGAGTCCCCTCCTCTCAAAATGGTGAACTTCACATCAGTTTTTGGCCCAGGCTTCCCTAATTAAACAGCTAAGGGGTTCAAGTAGATATGCATTGGTTTGTAGTGTCTAAAGCTTTTGCAGGCCATTAGAGTTTAATTGTTCTCCTTGCTCAAAATCATCTCAGTCAAAAGACATCTTGGCTGAAAATGAAATGGGTCATGAAACTATAAATAGGAGGTAAATTATATCTGCAGTGTTAACTGAGATGGGGAAAGGAAGGGCCAATAGACTACATGACAATACTGCAATGGGAAAACGGGATTCCTTAATTTTAATGTCATTGAGGAGTAACTGGTTGAATAGAATTACTTATCTAAAGCACAGTGAGCAATTGTCCTAAACATGCACCAGAGCCTGTAATTCGGAGTGATCCCAAGAGATGAAGTCACCATTGGCAAGCTCTGATTTTTTGTAATGGACGTCTGTAGTTCTCAGCAATTAATACAGATACGAACACAGCCAATGGCACTGGAATTCACAGATGGTCTGTTTATAGTAGACAAAATGGGGCTTGGTGGAGGTGGGAAAAGCTACAATCAATGCCTCCAGTCTAGGGCTAATTCTGCTTTTGTCCTTCCTACATAGATCAAAAGCAAAAGGGCTTCCTGTTTCAAATGTAAACACTGTTGAGCTGATTTCTTAAAAGCTGAGATCTGGGC